TCTGTATGCATATGAAATAAAATACCTAGCAGAACAGGAAATTTAAGTTAACTGGCAAATCATTATGTCTGGTGGTGTTTTATCTCTAATTTCAATGTTTTATTAGCCAAGTTTGTTAACACCTGTTCATTTGTATATGAGTTCTCTGAAGGGATATGATGTAAATATAGTTACATATGCATTATGCTTGGGTGCTCAGTAGCAATGAACTACAACATTTTCATAAAGCCACTCGTGCCATTGTAACATACTTAAAGGTCACATGCAACCAAAAAATCAAACATAATTAAAACACAATTATCACTTCTTCATGACATATAATATGCATTGCTGATTATGAAAAAACAAATAAACAAAATTATAAGCGTATAATCGCAAATCAAAAGTGCAATATTTTGTACTTGGGTTTACCTCCCTCGAAACGAAGCAGCCGGGATACCGAACCCAGTCAGAGCGGGTGGGTGTGCACTCAAGTGTAACGGCTGGTTCATTAGCAGATGCCGCCTTCACGGCTTATTGTGTGTGTGTATATATAGAGATGTTGGGTTTTGTAAATACATGCTCATTTTTTGTGTATAACATTTTGCAATCAACAGACATCATAACATGTCATGTGTTCAAGTATCACTCCTGCCTGTCTGTGTAATTACATAATGCGATAGAGACCGAACTCGGGCCATAAATCAATGCGTTTTGTTTATGGTGTATAGCCTGATTGGTGTTAAGTTCAAATTGCATGTGGTCAGTGATAGCAGTTGTGTATTGAATATTGTCATTAGCAGACAGGCAGGCAGACACACAGGTGTCAATAAAACAAGACACTGAGTTTTGTCTGTGACAGCGACATCACAGTTCTGTCAACGCTAAATAATGACATTGCTTTTAAGTATCGAACTGAGAAAGTGACTCGGTAAGAAGAACGTGTGGTGAAATAGACAAATGAAATTATATAAACAGTTTATTTACTGTCATAACATATAAAAAATTCGCTGCCTGTGAGATATCAACAAAACATTAGGAAAATAGCTCACACCAAAGCCTTCACCGAGTATTCACCAGACAGCCAGCTTCCAAGTTCTTGCGAACCTATTTCACTCTTGCGCATGCTATGAACGCGCCCAGCCCAGCTGTTGAAACCCGTATTCCCCAGAAAAGTCTGGGGAAAATTAGTGAAACGTTTGAACTCCGATTTCGCGCGTTTTTTTTCATCGTTATTTTTCAACTTTTTAAGTTGAATTTGCATTTTTGACGCTTTGTTTCGGTAAGTCCATACCGAAAGGTATCAGAATCTGCAAAGTTGTGTTTTACGTTGCATGTGACCTTTAAAAAATATATACAGTTTGAATTGTACAGTCAACAAAGTTTTTTCGGTTAAAAATCTGTGAATGACCTTGCCATTTGACATCACCTTGACACATGGCAAGTTGAGAAGAAAGTGCTCATGAAGTATTATTTGGCAATAAAAAGTGTTTTGTACCATCATGATTTATAGGGAAATGTTACATAATCTGAAGTTTGTTCACAATACATGCATCCGACCAATCACAGAACAACTATAACCTTAATGATGCGACAGTCGACCTTCAATAATTTTTGACAACCATAGTGACTGACTTCATGTTCAGGTCCTTCATGAAGTTGAAACCAACCAAGGCTGATCTGATCTTCAGCTATAATGTACCAAGCATTTATCTTGTTTTCAGATATTGGACCAAGGACAACAGTATAGTTTTACGATGTTTTTAGTAATATTCCAGCAATATCACTGTGGGGCACACCAGAAATGGCTTCATACATTGTACCTGTGTGGGGAATCGAACCCGGGTCTTCAGCGTGATGAGCGAATGCCATAACAACTAGACTACCCCATCACACCACTGCAGGACAACAGCGAATGATGGGACAAATTTCTAGCTCAGTAGATCAGATTTTTGGTGCTCTGATATGATACATCTGTGGGTGAAGATCTGAGTCCACCAATCTCAGAGGCTTCAATCGATTGATAAGCAGCATGGCTTCTAAATTCTTAGCATTAGTTCGAGTAGCATTCACAACAAATCTGAATTAAGGTTAGCATGGCAAGTTCTGCTTATAATACTAATAGTGCAAATGATACAAGTGTTTGCCACTGATATGGCAATGTCCCCCGCCACTAAAGAATGGAATATCTATATTTACTACTTTTTATTTTTTGGTCATACAAGATGCCTGAAATGACTGGTGTCTGCCTAATCACCCAATGTATGCTGTCGACATAATTGAAAACATTGGGTGCAATATCTTATGAGATATCGTGTTTAAATAAATTTGAAAAGTGGTCAAAGTGTCGTGGTGACCTTGAAGATAAGGTCAAGGTCACCCAAATAAACTGGTGTCTGCATAATCCCCTAATGTGGGCTGTCACCAAATTTGAAGACATTGCTTACAACAGTTCATAAGATATCACATTAACAAGAATTAAAAGTGTGCAAAGTGTCGTGGTGACCATTGAAAATAAGGTCAAGGTCACCCAAATAAACTGGTGTCTGTGTAATCCCCCAATGTAGGCAGTCACCAGATTTGAAGACATTGGGTACAACAGTCCATGAGATGTCACGTTAACAAGCCTTTGAAAAGTGTTCAAAGTGTCATGGTGACCTTGAAGATAAGGTCTAGGTCACCCAAATAAACTGGTGTCTGCGTAATCCCCTAATGTGGGCTGTCACCAAATTTGAAGACATTGCTTACAACAGTTCATAAGATATCACATTAACAAGAATTAAAAGTGTGCAAAGTGTCGTGGGGTGACCATTGAAAATAAGGTCTAGGTCACCCCAATCAACTGGTGTCTGTGTAATCCCCCAATGTAAGTTGTCACCAATTTTGAAGACATTGGGTACAACAGTTCCTGAGATATCGCGTTAACAAGAGTTTGAAAAGTGGTCAAAGTGTCATGGTGACCTTGAAAATATGCTCAAGGTCACCAAATCGACTGGTGTCTGGATAATCCCCCAATGTAGGCAGTCACCAAATATGAAGACATTGGGTACAACAGTTCATGAGATATCTCGTTAACAAGAGTTTGAAAAGTGGTCAAAGTGCCGTGGTGACCTTGAAAATAAGGCCATGGTCACCCAAATCGACTGGTGTCTGCGTAATCCCCCAATGTAGGCTGTCACCAAACTTGAAGACATTGGGTACAACGGTTCATGAGATATCACGTTAACAACAATCAGGACGTACGTACGTACATATGTACGGACACCGCCGAATACCTAGTCCCCCGTTCCGTGTTGCGACAGGGGAAAAAAAATCTACTGTTTGTTGTTTACCACTGCACTGAGCCATATTCCAGCTAAATGATAGCAGTCTGTAAAAAACTGTTTGAACCAGACATTCGAATGATTGACATCATGAGCATACATATATAAATAGAACTAATCCAGATCTTCAAGGGGAGAATTATGTTGTGCTACACTATACGAACAACAGGATTAAGAATATACAGTCGTCCCTCGCCATAACGCAGGTCTTTGGGTCCATGGATGACACAATCCCCCCCTGTTATTAGCCACCCGCATTATAGTAGGTTATACATAATACGGAAAAGGCCAAGTAAAATTGGACTTTCCATGGACATAACAGAACTGCTATTTAGTGTATTGTGCCTAGTCAAAACTATATCATATCATCGGAGGTGAAAAAACAAACTTTGTAACGAAAATAGATATATGTAGAGGAAACTTGCAATCAAACAAAACATCACTAAACATGATAATTGAATTGCTGTTCCTGTTATGCTACCTGTTATAGCCGGAAATAGCAATCAGCTGTGCTCACGATTTGGTCCAATGTACTGACGATCCAGTTAAAAATGATCCGAAAATATAACATCAATGAATTTCTATTCCATCATCAGAATAATTTATATCTTAAACAGTTATTTTAACAGAGATAATCTATATTGCTATGGTATTAGTATAATGCATGTTTTCTACGAACATATTTAACATTTGGGTTATGTGGCTGGATACATTTTACGTAGGAGACAGTTTGATAAGTCACTGTTGACTTCCTACGGTACGTGCCACTTTGATTGTAAAACAAAATGTTGGCAATTAATTGTCACTGAAATATGACTTCAATGAGTCAATAACGTGGATCTAGGGGTTCATGGATGATGAGGTGGTAATCTGTTTGTGATTGCTGAGAATAATGTGAATTAGTGCTATCACAGGAGGCGCGAAAAGCAGTCCCCCCATGAACGGTAAGTGGAAGTATTACACGTATAGAATGAGGTAATGCCATTTCACACACGTTTTCTTCGTTGTTACTGTAAACAGTTTTAATGAATGAAAATTGGATTGAATTTAATCAAATAAAATGAAATTGAAGATCGTTTTATTATGTGTTTTCTGACATCAGTTTTCGGATGGTGGCGTTTACACACGCCATAACGTGGTGTGTTGTATAACAGCAAACACCATAAGTACTCAGCTGATGGCATGTCTTTATGATAAAGTTGTCTTTCATAAGTTATTACGATGTCCCGCTGTTGATCTGATTATTTAAGAAAACCCTGAATGCTTTTTAAGCATCTGAAAAACCACATATATGTACGATCAACATCGTTCATTGCAATCCGCACTGAATTTCGCTACTTTACAACGTGACTAACCTGAGCTGAAGAGCGGTTTTGTTGGCATGCTATTTTTTGATAATGTGAAGATGTGTGATCGCTGGGCAACTTCTTTTTATGGGAGCCATGAATTACCTCGCGGTTTAACCGAATCCGTGGTATTGCGAAGAGTGTAATTGCGAGGGATGACTGTACATGATTGGCATAACTTAGCTTCTTGGACTTGAAACCTCCCATTTCTTGTAACATATTTATTGTTTCTGACAATATTTCCTGACTACTTCTTGTCCCTGAAAAGTCTGAAGGAATACAGAGCATAAAAAGTTTCATGCTTTCAAGAATTCAGATGATTGCACTTATGTGCATAATTAGTTTCACATACCTTCTTCGGGCTTTGCAAAACTTTCCTCCTCAGACTATCAGACGATTTCCTAACACTTCTAGAGTTCTTTGATTTGAAAATCCTCCTAGTTTCTTGCACCTGAGATTGCTGACTGCCTGAACCCTGACTGTCATCCTGAGAATCATGTGACTCCTCTGACACAACACTCTGTGAGTCTGACTCGAGGTCAAAGTCCTCAGACACACTTGTAGCACTTGACTTAGCATTAGATGCTCTACTAGCTGCAGAGTCAGGCAGGTTATACTCCTGACTACTACTAGGGGTGGTGTCCATTGGCACAAATTTCTCATCCTCATCCTCTTTCTCTTCATCCTCTGGCTCCACAGACAGACAAGGAGGAGAGACCTGAGGAGAGTCAATGATCTGGGCAGGCTCTAGTGTTGGAGGCTCAATGTCCAAACTTGGCGGTTCATTCTCTTCAGAAAGTTCTTCTTTTGTTTCCTGTTTTACCTCTGGTGGTGGTGCTCGAGATTTGAATATCCTATATGAACGTCTAGAACTATATGTTACGGGCTTTCTCTCTTTCACTTTTCTATTGTCAAAGTCATTATTACTATTACTGTCTGTAGTAGGAGCTAATGAGGGTTCAGACTCAATGGAGTCTTGAGAACTGGCAGGCACAGGTTCTGAAGAGGAAGATGAGGAAAAGTCTACATGTGCAGATCTATATATCTTATTTCTCACTTGCACAGTGGATACACTGTTATTGTGGGCCCTTGCTGCATGTGTCCGTGAGTTAAATGTTATGGGCTGAGATGACCACTGATTACTTTCTTCACTGGAGTCATTGTCAAACTGGTATGTAGAAGTCTTGGCAGCATCAGCATCAGATGTGTCCTCTTCCTCCTCCTCCTCATCTCCCTCAGTGATCACATCAATTTTTATTGGTCTGTCTGCTTTACTCAGAGCTTTGCTAGGATTTCCAAAATATTTATGTTGAACAGTTTCCTTGGTTTCCTGCTCAACTCCCTTCGGTTTGCATACAACAATCAGTGTTGTGCCCTTCTGCCCTTTCACTTGAGCTTTGGATATGACTGTGCTATTGGAAAAAGAGCCAATGGCATCTTGGTTCTTGCCACCAGTCTTTTCAACATACATACGTTTATATTCCTGCAGTAATTTAGGATCTGAGTAGCGGGAGGCACGTCGGGGACTATGAGGACCTCGTGTAATTGCTGTTGGCAAAGTGGTGGTAGATGGAGGTGATGGCTGATTAGTGTTGAGTTGTGATGTTTCCAAGTTACCTGTCTGCTTGTTGCTTCCATATGTCCTCACAGGTTGTTTCTTGAAGGACACAGATGACACATCATCATCAGATAACTCTTCTGTGTTCCGTGCTTCTTTCTTCATGAACTGTGGCATCTTGAAGTTAAAACTAACTTCATCATCATCATCCTCATCATTATCTTCACTATCATCCTCATTTATGGAATGTGGAGAATCCCCACTGGATTGAGGCTTGTACTCATCTTCATCATCACCAAATCCAAAGTTCACAACAGGCTTGGTCTCAATTACTTCTGTTACCAGCTTTTTCTTTGTCTCAACAGGATTAGCAAATGGTGTTCTTGTATAGGTCCGTTTAGAGATTGTCACACCAGACTTGAAGCTGAAATCGCCTTCCTCCTTCACCTCCATGCTCTCATCTTTCATCTTGCGATTGTCATTGGCACTGGGTGGTTGCTCATTTGCAGCACCACGTGTAGCAATCCGAGTTCCTGGGAGTCGAGTTCCTGGAAGTCTTGAGCTTGGGGCAGTACATGCCTTTGCTAGAACAACTTGCTTCTTAACGGGACTTCTCTTTCGTTCCATATCTGTATCAAAGCTAAATGGATCTTCAGGGCCCTTTGGTTCTTCCTCCAAACGAGGTTTCTTTGCCTGGGAAGATTCCATCTTCAGTCTTTGGCTTTCTCTCAAGGCCTTGAAGTTGGTCTTGCCCCATTTGGTATGTGAAGGGGCAGCTTTCAGAGCAGGTTTAGTGGTGACTATTTCATCAAAGGCACGACTTGCAGTACTCTCCTTGGAGCGGCTGTATGTCTTGGCGCCAAATCGCTGTGCAGTACTACTACTCATTTTGACCTACACAAAACATAGAACATCAGAAAGTAAGTATGATGACAAAACATAACTAAACATGCTTAACACCGGAAATTATTAATTCTATTTTCATACATAATTATATGTACATAGATCTTATACCAGAATATAGCTAAAGCATTGCAATTCTCATGCTTTGACACAGGTTTGTGGAAGTATAGCCTTGTGGATTGAGGCTAAGGTCAAAATGAGGGATAAGTTAATGAACTTGGGTTTCCAACCTGGAGAAAAAGTTTCAGATCATCATCCTAGTTTGCTGTATAATATAGTTTCAAGCAAAAGGAGATGTTACTTCAGAATCAGAACAAAAGCTCACCTTTTAACTGTTGCCAAATTTCTCTTAATTCCTAAATCTTTGGGACATTACAGCATCTAAAACCTGGAAGAAAAAAAGATATATATGACCAATTTATTACACTATTTGTAAATTACTAGCATCAGCTGACATTTGTAAACTGATTCAGCATCATATAAAATAAGTATTATGATAATATGAAGCATATTGTTCTTAATCACTGCTTACTAACATTTGCCTTCAGTTAAGTTGAAATAACAGCCTGGCCTGTCATCATGCTTTAGTAGTGAGGCAGATAAAAAAGGATATAATTTCACTGGATCATTGAAGGGACAGACCCAATACTGGATTGTCTGACCAAGGACACACTCAACGCCAAAACAGAAGTCACCAACCTCCTTGCCCAGTGACCTTGATATGTACTCACAGTTCTGTACATCGTGGGGGCATTTCATTATATATGAAATCTACCATCCCCCAACTACCAGATGATGGGAGTCAACCAGACTGGGTCAAATGGTTAACAACAGTTGCAAATGTAAAAGATCCTGTGGAATGGAATTGCTTAGCTTTTAATAAGTCATTTAATCTAGTCTTGAGTCTTAAATAGATTTTGCTTGCCAATATGCAATGTTGAGACAGTTTGGAATATCATTTTTCTCTGCCAAGAATTTCTTTCAGAAAATTAATAGGAACACTGACATTATAGTGGTATGTGGCTATCAAAACCTAAGAGACGCTTGTGACAGTTTACATAACCATTTATTACCATACAGGATAAACCTATACTGAGCTGCAAAAGAAACGCAAGATTTCCAAACGTTATTTCAAATGGTAAATCATAACAATCTTTCGTTGGAGATAAAACTAAATCTCTCAAGACATGCTGGTGTGCGTCTGAGACCCCAATTGAAGGTAACCTTTCAATATCTCCTGAAACCAAATGCCAAAATGCAGCAGTTTTGAGGGCCATGGGTGGATGTTGCAGACATTTCTCGAGGAAACCAAAATGCATGTGCATGAACAGAATATAGACCGATTGCAAGCCGGACAGCATGCCCTGGTGGTTGCGAACGCTTACAATGTGCACGTCAGTACCATCCATCGTCTGCAGCAGCGCTAAAACTCTACCAACAGCACTGCAGACAGTGCCCTCAGTGTACGTCCCCAAGTGACCACTCCCAGGCAGGACAGCTACATCCCTCGGTAACACCTAGGGGATTACTTCAGGTCAGCCACCATGACAGCTCGCGAGACCATTGGCACTCGACAGCGGCCAATCAGTGATGACACGGTACGACGTCGCCTAGAAGCCCACAACCTTCGTTGTCGTCCTGCTAGAGGGCCTATCCTCACAGCCCCTAACTGTCAAGCATGAATGCAGTGGGCTACACAGCACCAACATTGGCGGCATTAACAATGGACGTGATGAAAGCCGATCAGAGAATTGGACCCCATGTGTTCCTACATGTTGGTGCAGGATGAGGGAATGGCACTACAGCGCTACATTGACCATATCCTAAGACCTCACATCGTGCCCTTCTTTGCGCGCTACCAGAACGTGTTCCAGCAGGACAATGCCCGCCCCCATACAGCCAGGGTCACTATGGACTTCTTATGTCAGCATAATATCAGAACCATGCCATGGCCGGCTCTAAGCCCTGATTTGAACCCCATTGAACACATGTGGGGTGAAATCCAGAGACGTCTGAGCCAGGTGGTTCCAAGACCAACAACACAGTGCTGAACTGGAAGGCAGCTTCCTCAGACTGGGGGCACAAGTACCAATGGTTTTCATGAACCACCTCATTCACTCCATGTACCAGCAGTGTATGGCTGTTTTGAACAACCAAGGAGGGCATACCCAGTACTGAACATGTCATGCCCCCCATGTGCTGGATCCACCCACTACAGCAATACATGAGAATGTGCCATGGACTGTGATCAAAGTGTATCCAGGCAAAGGAACTGATAACATTTTCATTTTTCATCTATGTGGCAATGAAATTAAGACACAGTTCACAATCACACAAGTCTCGCGTTTCTTTTGCGGTTCAGTATATAATCATTTGATCCTTTGAATTGTGAACAATATGTAAGCTGTTCCTTTTCTGATATCAACAGCCTTGCTGATTTAAATAAGTCAAATATTTTACTCAAAGTTCATACAAAAATTACAAAACGAAATAAGCAGCAGAGCTAATATTTTCATACAAAAATATATGGAAATTTCCATTTGAGGACAGTGGATCAGAATGAGACCCCAAACCTCTTTTGTGTCAGCTTAAATGGAGATTGGGAGGTCAGGCTGTGTGACTTGTGCTTATATCTCTACAGTTTTTAGCATTGATCATAGAATATGAAATATGGTAATAGTCTAATATTATTGTGGTATGTGATGAATGACTGCAGGTCAGAATATATAAAGCACATGAAATGAATAGGAATAACAATGTGTATACCTTTTCTTGTGCCATTTATTGTTTTATCAGACCATTACAGGTTTCAGGTAATTTCTTGATCAATCCTGTTTTAGTGCTTGCGCAATATTTATTTGGGATCAGACTGTTGTTATGGAGTTCATCTGTATGTCATATTATTTCATTCATTAATCATTTCACTCTGAATGCTTATGTTAAAATGTGGCAGTAACTGTTGACAGACAATACACCAGCCTGAATGGTCGGTTTACAGAACAGTGATTGAGTGAGTGAGGTTAGTTTTATGCCGCACTTAGCAATATTCCAGCTATATGACGGCGGTCTGTAAATAATCGAGTCTGGACCAGACAATCCAGTGTATCAACAGCATGAGCATCGATTCAAGGTGTTTGGAACCAATTTTCTCTTATGTTGTGAAAGGAATGTGCACTAATCCAAGATCGGCTGGGAATGTCATATATGTTACACAAGGGTGAACATACTATATGGAGGAGGTTCTTGAAAGGCATGATGATGAAGGAGCAAGAATTAGCTCAGAAACATCATAAACATCATATAAAGAATAAAATGAAGTTGTTATCTATAATGTGTCATGTATTTATATTGAGGAGATGCATTTTTTGGTCAGAATTATGTATGTTATTTTGTTTGAATTTCATTGGTGATAATTTGGTTGTTGAGGTGGTTGTTGGCAGATGGTGTGCAGAAATGGATACATGTACCTATCTGTATTAAACACAAATGTAACCAAAACAAATCAGGTAAATGATTTTACCCCAGCATGGCAATATTGTTTCTTTGGCATTTGTTTAATGATGTACTCAGCAATTTTCAAGCTACACATGTATATGATGGCTGTCTGAAAATAACTGATTTCGGTGACTGACATTATGAGCATCAATTTACACAACTGGGATCCGATGACATGCACCAACCAAGTCAGTGTGCCTGACCTACCAATCTCATTGTGGTCTTTTAAGTCTTACAACAAGCATGATCTGCTGCAAACCAATATAATAACAAGGATCTTCACAAAATCATTGAAGTATCAACTGTGATTGTTATGATTGCAGTGAAAAGCACACTTGGACACTTGTGTATACAAAATGGAAGACTGGACGTTCTTCTACCAAAATCTCCTTCATCAAAGATAATCTTATCATGCATTTAATAAATATTGTGTACATCGGTGTTTCTGGAAATATAGATACTGCAGAAAAAAGTACTGACTGAATTGTGTGTTTAAGTATTCAGACACTTATACAATTTTGTCAGTAGATGTACTGCTGCAATAGGCACAAATGAACATGCTTGTTTAGCTGAATTTCTCAGATGCTATAGATCATAAACAGTCACGCCTTGGGGCACTGATCACTTGTGTCGCAGTGATATATTCTGAGGAGAATAATAGAGCTAGCCTCAAATAGGTTGGCTCCATCTTTCGACAATGCTGCTAATAACTATCAACATGCGGATTCTCTTCTAGAATATGGATTGAACCTGGAAAAACACCACCACCATGACCTACATACCAGGCTCCAGCACAACCGGAAATACGAATCTGTATCAACAGCTACAACATTGATTCTGTGAGAAAATGAAATAACTGTCATTGCTTGCAACTGCAATATGACGAACATATGTCATTGACAACACCGGTTTGTAGAAACATGTAGATCGATGGGTTGTTTACAACACGGTACAGGCAATGGAATATGCAAACAGGTTTCCGTCTCCCTGTGTTTTGGTAAGCATGCAGTCACTACAGACATAAGATAAGCAAATTTGATAGTAAATATATTACTTATAGACTCCGCAGTGTGTTTGGAGTAGTTTGTCGAAGCTGTATCACCCAGATCCCCTACGAGAGAGAAATTCTTAAGACGTAAATACTACTGAGCTTCACGTTGAGCGCCATTTTCCTGTACAAAAGGGGAATTGACAAAGGACGCAGGCGCAGTAGCTCTTGAAAAAGTTGGGTTAGCTACATTTCAATGGGCTCCGTTTCGTATTCTTTCCAAGGGGCGTAATAACTTCCTTTGCGTGTATATTTAGAGTTGTTTCCCTTGTAATAATTATTTTATGTGTGTTTCAATAACCATGCCGATTCACCCACATTGAAGTATCACATTTCAAAGTGCACTTAATGTATGCAGTTGGGTGTGAAAGAAAGGTACACCATTCTGTACACTGTCTTTAGATGATGTTTACAAAAATCAACGTCCTCTTCAAATAGCATTAATTATAAACAGAGGAATTCATTAGATGGGGACAAAAATTACCATGCATTTCATTTGTGTCCCTGGGCCCCATTACATATGTAATTAATGACAGCATAGGTCCCATAAGTGAGATTGTGACCTAAGTTATTTTATGTTATTATATCATGTTATATGTTTTCAAACGTCATACGTTTTCGGAAGTCAGTATTTACTCTCGCTGTAACGAGGCAGCTTGTGTCACGCAGATGTTGTCCGTACTCGGATTGCGTTTAGATGAAGTTTTTGATGCGTTAGGGACATGTTTTATAATTGTTCCTTCGATAATCGAGAAAACAAACGGATGTTCTAAACAACCGAAATCCCAAGAACACGATGAAAAATATACATTGACATACCGCAGTAGAGCTTAATAGTTCACTTCATTTTACGTAATTGCCGACAATACTGCAGTATACGTACCTTTCTAGTCATAGAATGTATTTTCATTCTCACAACAGACGGCGATTAATATCAATTAAAAAGCATTGTTTTCGAATAATGAACTTCTCTTTCAGCCGGCAACTGGGACAGTCACGCTAACCCGTATACATTCTTAGTTACCTCCCTTCCACCACATCAGAAATTGACTCACGCGAAATGGCCGCGGCGGTAACTCTACCAACATACATGTGACTTACCTCCCTTGCACCAGTCCCCTTGCTTGGCAACAACTTCGGCTGAATGATCACATTTTGAAAAATATATGTATTTTCAGATACTCTGAACTTCCTATTGTTTAACAATGTGTTTCATATTGGAAATGAATGTGTGTATCGTATAATGTGGGTATAATTAAGATGCAAAATCAATGTAATGATATATAACATGTTCTTTTTTTAATAGGTGAATTGACAACTATGAAGAATTTTTTTTATTATCAATCTGTTCTTTCATGTTTTGATGCCCAAAACCAACTTATAAAAACAAGTGTACGTAAACATTTCATCCACTTGTAATTACTGTCTCGGAAAGATTTTCGCCCGTAACCCCACATTGTTTCAATCAATCTATGCCTAAGAATATAGGCCTATAGTTGTTTTTTTTATAAAACGCCTAAACCTAACCCTAAACCTAAACCTAAACCCTCGAATTAATCCTAATAAATAGAATACATTTTATAGCGGGGGTTACCGCGGAACCCTTACATTGGGGAGAAAAGAAGAATTGATTTTGTACATGACTCGCATGGGGGTCATTCACATTGTGAGTGAGTGAGTTTAGCGTCACATCGGCAATATTTCAGCCATATCGTGATGAGAACAATTTAATTTTATCAATATGAAAATCAATAGATTTAGACCGTAAAAATCTGTCATCGGAGTACAGTAAAATACTAGAGTATCCCAGATATAAATTTAAAACTAGTACGCTATCATAAAATTAAATCACTATAGACAGTACAAAATAAACACGGGCTATAGATCACCAACAACTGAAGGCAGATCACCATACTAGGGACCATGGGGACTTACAGTACCTTTGCTACCTGCATGGACCCTAGTTGGATTTACACCATCCCTTCAGCCGCTGGAAATTTAGCCATAATTTAAAAGCACAAAATACTACGCTTCTGGTATGTTCAAGTTTCCTTCGATAGTTTTGGGACTTACGTATCCTCTCAGGAGGACATGTTTACAGTCCTTTAACCCCTTTGAGGATACAGCAACGAACAATCTCAGTTGTGAAGTTAAACTACCAATAGTAAAATATATATCTATAGACAAAACATATCCATCAATATTCATCAAGTAACTATTGCTCAAAGGACCCTTAACTGTTTTTGCACTGAAATATTCTTCCATTGTGATGGAACAATCTATACAGTCAAACAGGATATGCTTGACCGTGATTCTTTCATCACAAGGGATGCAAAATGGAGGATGTTTCATGTTTCATGTTTAATACCTGCTGTGGTCACTACGACATCCTCTCAAGATGACCTCTTCAAATCTGGACTGACAGCCCAGGTAGGTCTAACCAAAATAGGGTTTTATTTCATGTAATTTATTTTGATACCTACTTGGGTGTCCCACTTCTTCTGCATCAGATCACGAATGTACGATCTAATGGTGGCTTTGCAATCGGAGTATGGAATGAGAAGTGGTGTCACAGATTTGTTGAGTGCAGCCTTAGCAACAAAATCGGCCATTTTATTACCAGAGATTCCAACATAGCTGCGTAACTAACAGAGGACAATGTCGCATTGGCCAGTAGCAAGATCATTTTATAATTCAATTATTTCGATTAAAAGTTGATGTGTATTTTTTATAGCCTGAAGGCAAGAAAGAGATTCTGAAAATATGATATATTGTTTATATTTGGGTTGTCTATTAATATATTTAAGAGCTGTTAGTATTGCGTTTGATTTTGCTGTAAACATAGAGCTATTATCCAGTAATCGAGAAGATATTGTTCTGGATCGAATTACAGTGGCACAAGCAACTGCGCCACCATCCTTGGACCCATCTGTATATAAGGATTTGTATGTACAGTGCACCCTGGTTATAATGCCCCTGGTTATAACGCCACCCTGGATATAATGCCATGTGTTTTTGCCAGAGCGGATTTCCTGCCCATTTAATACCCTGTTATAATGCCAGACTGGATGTAATGCCATATGCCAATGTTTTTTGGAACAAAAAGTCATTTTCCCCTGGTTATAATGCCAATTACACTGGCTGCATTTAGTATACATACCTTAATTGGTTAAGTGACATGACTCAAATTAATTGACTAAACTTATTAATGCTTTAGGTAGTCATGTAATCCTAGATAGGATAACACATGTGACAATACACTTCCTGCCACCTACAACAAGGGTCTACTCCCATTTGCGAGAACTCCCAGTTGTGAGACTCCCAGCTATGAGACAGTGGAGTAGGTAATTAACAACGAAAACACACCATACTCCCCTGTCTGATAGAATGGATTCACCCTAGCTAATTACTGATTTGCTATGTACTGAATCTTGTGGAGGTAACTTAATGAAACTGTATAAGATAAATTGATTAACATACTCTGGTAAATATCTTTAATAAGTAAACACTTTGTGTAGGTAACTTCGTGATCAAAGAGAAATTAATTTACCCACTCAGATTTACTCCGTCTCCGAAACTACAAGCTATAGTTTAAGAAATAACTCTGAAATTTACAGTCGAAATGCCCCGTATGCCAAACCCTTTCTACCCGACACAATAAATTTATGGAATGCCCTACCAAATTCCAAAGAATTTTAAAACCTAATTACAAAAACCGAAAACAAGATTTATATTGATCTTAATTATGGCTCTTGTTTTTGTCAAATCGTTCATTGCTGCCTCAGGCTCGGATGTAGCGACCTAAACGCCGATAAGTATAACAGACATTTAATAGACAGCCTATGTTGCTCTTGTGCATATCAACTACCCGTTATAACCTGGATAATTTTTTGAACGGAAACAAAGCATTTACTCATTGTGTAAATCAGAAAATAGTTGAATCCGTCCACGATTATATCATCAAGACACAACCTTCAAATTTTCACAGGGAAATACTGAAATTCACTCAACAACGTTAACCTTCTCGTGATTGATTTATATTCCTACAATAGCTTGTTAGACACACACAACTGTAAGTCTCTAATTATGACTACTTAGATAATAGTTGTATTTGATGTAATCTGTATATATTTATATGTACTTAAAAATATATTTATGCAATAGTCGTCACATCCTCCATTTCATTTTGTATTCTATGTTGCATGGGCGCGGTGTTAACATAAGCAGTAATACTTCACCAATCCCAATTCATTTTCATAAATAATAATAAAATATGTTTAAACCAAAATGACTTTCAACCTTCATAACAGTCAATAAAAATGTTTTATCATAATTACATATTCTTCTGAATAAATAAAATATTCAATGAACTATTTCTTCTGTGTAAATATAATCTTTGATAATCTACTTCATTAATCAACTCGTCAATGAACTATGCCTCCTGTGGGTACTGGGCTGGGCTGATCCTACTTTCGTTGTAGGGATGTGGAAACACCACCTATGTGCACTGAACCATTAATTAATGTGTCTCACAACTGGGAGTTCTCACAAATGGGAAGGGGGCGGTGGGATAGCCTAGTGGTTAAAGCGTTGGCTCGTCACGCCGAAGACCCGGGTTCGATTCCCCACATGGCTACAATGTGTGCAGCCCATTTCTGGTGTCCCCCGCGCCGTGATGTTGCTGGAATATTGCTAAAAGCGGCGTAAAACCAAACTCAGTCAGTCAGTCAGTCACAAATGGGAGAACACCACAACAAGAAGTCACCTGCAGCCCCTGGACGCTGGGATTATCCAGTCATTCAAGGCTCATTACAGCTCAGTCACCTTGTTGATTGCATAGGGCCTCTAACTGTCCTACCTGGTTATAATGCCAGCCTGGATAACGGTGGCATTATAACCAGGGTATACTGTATTATATTTACTTTTTAATTGATTAAATTCTTGTTTATATTGTAATTCATTTGTTTCTGATTTTTTTAATGTTGTCAGTGATAGGTCACGGGAACTTCTGGTCTCACCAGTTGCCAAGGAGAAGAAAGAAGATTGGAAGGAGATATATTTTCTAGCTCAATGCCAGCAGCAGAAAGAAAAGGTTTCATACATATTCCGAGAGGGAATTAGTGAAGATTTTTTTTAAATACA